TTTTAAATTTATTTACTTCTTTGAGTTTCAGGTCTTATATTAAGGTCTTTGATTTATTTGGAGTTTTTTTTTAAACTTTACTACTGTTACATAGTGAATAATTGGGGGGTACATGTGAGGATTTCAGAACACAGCTCTATGGACTCAGTTTTCTCCATCCACTTTTATGGGGATCCTCAGATTGACCAATATCATCCTATTGCTTAAATTAATTGTTTGTTAAAAATAGGAGTGTAGAGTACAGTAGTGTGGTTGAGAAACACTATTTTCTTTAGCTCTTTATAATGCACAATTACTATCCATGAATTGTCTGGCTTTCTCATCCTGGAGTGCTGCCAAGTGGTTGGTTTACTAGTTACTTTTTCTGTTGTGGTGATTAAAAAATAAGTCCTGACAAACTCAAGGAAGAAAGAGCTTATTTTGGCTCACAGTTTGAGGGTAAAATTCATCATTTCAGGGAAATCATGGCAGGAGACAAAGAGTGATGAATGCACATGCTCAGTTCTCTTTCTTCTTTTAATAGTTTTTGTTACATTTATTTATTTCTATGTGTATATGGGCACATGTGGAAGTCACAGGGAAACTTTCAGAAGTCAGTTCTCTCCTACTATGTCACCTTAGGTGGTCAGACATAGCAGCATTTGTCTTTACCTGCAGAGTCATTTTACCCCTATTTTATTTTTAAAGGGTATCTTTGCTGGACGTAGATTTCTGGGTTAGGATTTATTTCTTTGAAATACTATGCATTTGGAAAACAGTCTATTCTGGCTTTATGTTGAAAAGGATCTGTTAATACCACTGAATGAGAGTAAAGACCACTGACAAAAAGTTTTGGTCAAATTAAACAACCTTAATTTTCTGTCTGACAGGGCATCTCCCTAAAGCAAGGACTGAGAGAATAGCATTGAAAATAAAAAAATATGGGGCTTATATAGCTCAGAAATGTCAAGGCTAGGAAGTTTCCAGGGGTTTTTGGTTACAGTGGAACTTGTCAGAACATCTCAATATTATTTGGCAGAACACCTTATTTTATCAGAATGAAGGTCAGAGTATGGTTAGAGTAGAGGGTGTGGAACATGTCAAATCCCAGAAAATGGGTCAAGACACTGTCAAACTTAAGTTTTACAAAAAATAATAATGAACTTATTTTGACCTTGTAATAAGATGGCTTCTAATCTTAAAATGGAGTCAAACTGGTCTATCAGTTGCTGTTGTTTAGATGGTGATGTTTTGAATATGATCCGTTTTATTTTCCTCTGACTCTTTTTTGGAGTTTACAGAATTATGTTTTGAGACAGGGTTTCTCTGTGTAGAACTGACTATCCTGGAACTTGCTCTGTTTTGGTGGTCAAAAGTTTTGCTGTGATGATGCTGTGTATGATTTTAATCACCTTCAGCTCTGCTTTTTAAATGTTGTTCTTTCTATGAATCCTTTGGTCTTCTTCTTGTTTTTTTGCTGATTTCTTCTACTTTCTATGACCTTTACAAGTGGGAATATGTCAGCCAAGTTCTGTAGCTCATTCTTCCTCACACTGCCTCAAGATGTTGCTTCATGAAATTCTGGATTTCTCAAAGAAAGCTCAGTAGGCACAAGCTGATGATTGAAACATCTAAGACAGTAATGAGGGAGAAGAGAGAACAGAGAAGGTTGGATTGATTAATCTGCTACCAGTTGACATGAAACCCCTCTGTGGGGTAAGGAGAGGTAGCACAGTCAGGCAGGGGTATTATTTAGAGCCAAATGGGGTTGAAGGGACAAGAATCCCATTAGACACTTTGGAGACTTGACCTCTATTCCATTCCTGTTAGCTAATTGCATCATAGCCACAGCAGAAACTTTGCCAGCCCTTCCTGATATTCCGTATCCCTGGCATCTTCAAGCTCTGAGTTATCTTGTCACTGCCCTTGCCTAAATTCCCAGAGTTTTTCATTCCTGTGTTATCTGTTCATTAGTCTTCATTAACCCACTGAAATCTTTATCTTGCCACTTCATAGTTATGATAATTTAGCAAACTTTTTAATTACTTAATATTACTCATTGTTATCAATATTCTCAACCTTCCAAGCACAAATTAATTCAATGACTTGTCCAACCAAGTGTCGGAGATACTCTATCCTACGGTGAAATGATCCTGAACCATTTCTCCAAATCTACCGATTTATTTTTTGTGTATTTTTCTTATTTATTAAGGAATTTATGTATCTTAATTATATTCATTCCTCACTGTTTTCCCATCTCTTCCTAGATGCACCCCCTCTCCAACCCATTGTTTTCTTTTCTTTTTTTTTAAAAGGAGAGACTATCTTGAAACACCTGTTTTAGTCCTCAGATTCTTAAATTTTTCTGCCATCTCTTCCACCATGTTCCCTGAGGCTTAAGTGTAAGGATAGTGTTGCAATGTATTAGTTGGGGACAAGCACCCACCATCAGTTGATCTCTGCTTTTTGAGTAGTTGTGGCTTTTTGTAATGATCTGAATCTACTTCAAAAAGAAGCTTCATTAATGAAGGATGGGAGCTAGATTTTATTTTTTATTTTATGTGTATGGGTGTTTTGCCTGTGTGAATTCCCATGCATCATGTGGTGCAGTCTTCAGGGAGGTGTCAGATCTCATGGATTTGGAGTTACAGAGAGTTGTGAGCTACTATGTGAATTCTGAGAACCAAACCTTGGTCCTCTAGAAGAGCAGATTGAATAGACTCTCTCTGACCTTGGGTAACAAGAGCAGTATCTGCTTTTCAAGCCTGTTAGGCTCCTTAGAGATATGTTCTCATGTGACCCAGGCTGTCTTTTAACTTATCTTACTGTCTTAGCCTCCCAAGTACTGGAATCAGAGAGGTATGACACCACATGGGCTTGGAGATATTAGGCATCCTGTGTTTTTCATGTGACTGCCATTCCACATACTTTATTGGATTCTATCCACCCTTATGACTCCCTATCCAACCATTCCACCCCCAGTCTTCAGTTTTCAGCCTCCACTCCTCTTCTCCCATATAATCACCTGCCTCAGTCTCCTAAGTGGTGTTCTTCCTAGTCTTGTCAACACTATGTCCATTGCCGATTTCACTATTCAGTTATATTTGATGTTTGTTATTATTATACCTTTTTAGGCACTTTCTAACCTGGACTCCTAGGTGAGTCAACTATCATGGGACATCTCCTGTCTTACATGACTTTTCTTTTACTCCCTATGGCTTTACTTCGACCTTGGCTTAGGGTGACACTACCATGCCTCTTCTACATGGCCCTTTCTGTATCTAGCTTTCTGTTTTCAACTTGCTCTAGGGTGAAAGTCACTGGGTTTTAATTCAACATGCTAATAGCCAGTTCTCAGAAATGGTCAAGACTGTACTTCTGAAATAAATTGTGTTAGACAGAGTGAGGTTTTTTAAAATTTTGTTTTGCTTGTTTGTGGTACTAGAGATAGAATCCAGGGCCTAGCATGCGAGAGTGCGACTCCCCTTCCTGACCTCACAGGGTGGCAGCCCTGCCTTCCTATGGGCTTCATTGAGGAGTCACCAATTCTAACTCAGGTCAGACTTTCCTCTGCTCTGCCTGGAATGAAAGGATCAGAGAGTCCTCTTTGGTAGCCTGTTTTCTGTTTTCTGGCCTGTTCTTCATGGGGTCCAGAAGAGGAACTTCAAAAAAGTTTTTCTGTTGTAAATAAAATCTTAACACTTGCCACACGTTTCCTTCAAAGCCTTTTAAAAAGAAGAAATAAAACTTCAAAAGATTCAGTTGTATGAGCTAGGATGTAGTTCAATGGTCAGGTGCTTGCCTAGTTTGTGCAAGACTCCAGGTTTCATCTACAGTAACACACACACACATACACACACACACACACACACACACACACACACACACACACACACACACAGAGAGAGAGAGAGAGAGAGAGAGAGAGAGAGATATTCAGAGACACTCTCCTGGTATCTCTTACTCCAGGTCAACAGGTCAGTTTGTCTGACTTCACTACCCTCAATGGGATGCTAATCATTTCTCCTGGTACCTTTTTCTCCAGGTCCTTTGTCTGACCTCACTACCCTCAGTAGTGAGATGGGGTGCTAATCTCTTCCATGCATGCTATAATACTTTCCTATTTATGTTTGTATATATAACAGGTAGTATTTTTGCTTGTATTTTTTGAACATCTGTGTTGAGATATAATTTGCATGTCATAAAATGCACAATTTTAATTGCATTTCAGTGATTTTTGTTAAATTTATTGAGTTGTGTAACCATTAATACAATCCAATGTGTGCCTTTATTTGAATAACTTTATCGAGGTATAATTCACATCCTTTTTATTTCATTCAGTTAAAGTATACAATTCAGCTTGGTTTAGTGACACATGCCTGTAATCCCAGCACTCAGGAGGCAGAGGCAGGAGGATCACAAGTTCAATGCTAACCTAGACTTCAGGGTGAAATTCTGTCTCTCCCACCTATGTATACAGCTTTAGTGGGGTTTTAGTATATTCACAGTTAATCCATTATCTAACCTCACTTTTTTATTATCTCTGAAAAAATAAACCCTATTAGCAGTCACTCCTTGTCACCCTGATTCTTAGTCCCTGGCACCCACTTATTTGTTCATGTTTATGGACATTGCATACAAATGGAACTTTACTCTGTTATCTTTTGTGACTTTCCATGCTCTATAATAGAAATACATTTATGGAGTAACTACTGCATCCTCAACACTGTTTCTGGTAATGTTTGGGGGACTTGACAGCATATACAGATAGCTTAAATTTTTTTTCTACATTTTCTAGTCTATGGAACATTGGTAAAACTGTTACTAGAGAGTAATTGTAAATAATATATATTAGTATAATTGTTCCCAGGCAGAGGTAGAAGAGGCAGTCACCTTTGTCTGAGTTCTAGTGGGTGGTGTGGTGCGGGTGGGAGTAGTAAATCCAATTGCAGAGTGCTCTCTGCCAGCATGAGCTCTGAGTAAGCTATGGAGGGAATGTTTTTTTCTCTCTTACTTTCTAGACAATCACTGATGGAAGAACAGGTGAATGATCACTTGCAGAGATACCTGGATGAGATTTGCCACCTTAAACAGCGTTTGGCATGCACTGAAGAGAAAATGGCCTATTTGTCCTATGAAAGAGCCAAGGAAATATGGGTGAGGGTCTCGGGGAGAAAGGGCTGGGGGAAGGGGTCATGAGTAATCTATTTGTATGCTCCCAAGCCAAGGCAAGAGAAGATCTTCTAACTGTGCCTGCCCTGATAGTGCAGTAGTAACCTGCACCTTTGTGTTAGAACCAGTTGTGTCTACCTTGCATGTCTACATGAGCTCCACTTCTCACCATGCATCCAAGCTGCTTTGTGGACTTTGGACTGTGCTTCTAATCTTGTAGGGGCAATTACTAAGACATAGTGTTGTGTGATATTTTGTTTGTGTCCTGATAAACCAAGCTTTCCAGAAGATCAGAGGGTGGAGCTAGCCACTAGTTAACTATAGAAACTGGGTAGTGGTGGCACACACCTTTAATCCTAGCACTGAGGAGATGGAGACAGGATTTTGGCTTCTTTGTACTGAGCAACAAGAGAGAAAGGAAACAACTGGCAGTTGCTCCTGGTTCTTTGATCTTCAGGGTTTTTATCCTGATATCTGACTCCTGGTTTTTCATTGATTAAGATTAATTAGATTAATGCTTCACCATAGCCTGGAGTCAGTGACCTACAGAGCAGGGGTAAAGCCTGACAAGCCCAAGGGATACTGAGATATTTGCAACGCTAGTAGAGGGAAAGCTTCTGGGAACCCCCTTTTTGGGTCTAGCTTCCTGCCCCTCAGTCCTTTCCACACTCATAACTCCTACTCCGGGCCCTTTCCCACCTAAGTCCTCAGTCTCAGCAGTAGATAAGGACCAGGACCCCTTAGCCCAGCACTCCACAGTAACTGTTTGTCTTTGCTGTGCATGTCCTAGAAGTTCTCTCTATCTTTCCTAAAAGATTCAACTCATTGGGTGGGATGGCACAGGCCTTTAATCCCAGGACTTGGGAGGAAGATGCAAGCAGATCTCTGAGTTTGAGAACAGCCTTGTCTTCATAACAAATTTCAGGTCAGCTGGAGCTACACAGTGAGATCTTGTCTTAAATAAATAAGAAAAAAGAGAGAGATAAATCAGAAAAAGATGTGTCTCAGCAGTACTTTTTGAACACCTCTAAGCAAATGAATTTACTAAATTAGATAAGTACATTTTTGTTCTTACTTCTGGTGAGTATATATGTTTGTTACCTACAGGATGTAATGGAGACTTTCAAGAGCAGAATAACCAAACTAGAAACTCTACAGCAAACTACCCAACTGGAGATGATGGCCAGTGTCAGAACCCGTCCCAAGGACTTTTTGTTCAGATTCATAAGCCTGCTTCTCACACTGACCACTATCCTCTTGGTCTTGGTCTCTACCTTGTGTTCTTGTCCCTTGCCACTGCTCAACTCACGCCTACGCATGTTCACTCTATTAGTGTTAATTGGCCTTGGGACCTTGGTGTGGCAGAAGCGGCATATCATCTCCATCACGGACTGGCAGGCCTGGATCCCCTTTAAGTGGAGATCAGACTTCAAGGATGCTAAGCCTCAATTAGTTGTACACTGATGGGCAAGGAGTATCATCCACCTGAATTTGTTCATTACTTCCCTCCTTCCAGATGTTGAGGGCATTCAGTAAGCCTTCCCTAGAGAGCTACTTTGTTACTCTCACTTTCTTAATTCTGTAACCACCTGCCCAGTGTGATACATGCAGATGCCAACTTGCCTTCTCCTTCCAGTTTTCTATGATTTTGTCATAATATCTGTAGACATGGGGATTGGATTAAAACAAAAGAAACCATATGTTCTGGTCTCTTTATCTACATTGTACTGTCTCCAGGTCTGGTGCCTGAACACCCAGTAGCTTAGATAACCCCAAACTGTAATGGCCATCTCTGGAACTTTGATTGGGCATGGGGAAAATTATGTTTATTTCACAAGGATGGAGGAGAAGGGAGGCCGAAGCTTTGGTGGATTGGACAGGTTGGAGGCAGACCTCATGCAGGCGATACTGAAGAGACAGATGAGACTTCTGTTTTGGAGGTGCTGGAAAGTTCAGAGCTATCATCAGTCTTCTTTCCAAAGAGCTGTAAGATGCAGTTTCGAAACTAGAAGGACAGAAAGCATTATTCAGCAAAGCAGAAAGGTCTAGTGCACCATGCTAAAGGTGAAGCTTGGGATATGGTACTGTCACTTAGTGGATGTACACCTTTCATTCTCCCATTGAGAATACTATGAGTGGGATGAGGAAGGCTCAGCTCATTCTTTAAACATATGAATGGAGGAGTTCTGCATTATCTAATTTAGTGGTTAATGGTGAGTCTAGTTGAATTGTGACCGGTCCTAAAGAATACTAAATCCTAATTACTGGAACCTGTGACTGTGTCTTTTTTGGAACTGGCACATATATGTTACAATGAGGTCATATTGGATAAGCATTGTCACTAGTCCAGTGACCAGTGTTCTTGTAAGAAGAGGAAGATTTAGACAACACTACACATACAGAGAAATGGCTATGTGAAGAATAATATTGGGGCAGCATGTCTGTGAGTCGTAGGACAAGGAAAGCTAGGAGAGAGACACCATACTGATGCTGTCTTAGCACCCCCAGAAGGAACAATAATAATGCTGACTCCTAGACTCCAGATTTCTCGCCTCTGGAGCTGTGAGAAACTTAATTCCTATTTTCTTGTTTTGCTTGCTTGTTTGTTTGTTGAATAGCTAGAAATTTAGCCTAGGGCTTTGTGTGTACTAGGCAAGTACTTTGCCATTGAGCTATAGGTCTGTTGTTTTAAGCCACAAAACATGTGGAATTTATTGTGGTAGCTTTAGGATACTTAGGCAGTGACCAAAACCAGTGCCATCTAAGGAGCCCAAACTACAAACAAAGCTTTGAGAGTCCAAACTAAAAATGTCACCTAATTTCAGTTCTATTTGCAACTATCTCCATTCCCTCCAACATTAAAACTCTTGAAATGAAAACACTTATGTGTTGACATTGACAACATTAGAGATGGACTAAATAACAACATAGACTTTGCTGAAAAACTGACAAGTAAGGCAAGAAATTCATTCAGCATCTACTTGCTGAGTTCTCACTTCATGCCTGACTCTATTCTGAAGGGATATAGCAATGAACAAGAATGGAATCCACTGTTCCAATATTCTTGGAATATAGCAAAATGAGTGAAAGCAAAATTTGCACACCTGCCCACCTTTGTTTTCTGTCTTTAACAAGCATCTCTTTCTAGGACTGCTTTCAGTTTTTGGCAGAGAAGATCTGGGGTGGACACTTGCCTGGCATGCACCAGGCCCTGTGTTCCATCCTAATCAGTAGAGGAAGTGGTGTGGGAGAATTATCTGTATTCTGTCAATCATGTATTTTAATAAAACGCTGATTGGCCAGGCAGGCAGTATAGGCGGGAAAACCAGACAGGAAGTAGAGGTGATGCAAAGAGACTGGGAGTATTCTGGAAAGCAGGAAGCTCCCTGCGCCATTCCTGTCCAGACCACTGAAGAAGCAACATGTAAGCTGACAGCTGAAAAAGGTACCAAGTCATATGCCTAACGTAGATAAGGATAATGGGGTAACAAAAGTTATAAGAGCTAATAAGTAGCCTGACCCAATGGGCCAATCAGCTTTATAACTTATAGAGATCTCTGTGAAAATCTGTGACTGATTTTCTCTGGGACTTGCCGGCTGTGGAGTACTGGGTAGGACAGAAATTCCAACAAGCCGGCCCCTCATGTTACAAGGAAGGAAGATGGTAGAGGAAAGGGGAGTCAATTGGAAGGACTCACAGAGTCTGATGAAATGATAGACCCCAGTGAACACTTCTGATTACTAATAACTCACATAGTAAATGTCCCTTAATGAAGTGCATGTGATGAATTCAAGGAAGAGGAAAGCAAATGGCATTCAGGAGGTGATGAACTTCTTCAGGTTCACCTATAACCTAGTAGGAGGGTCCAAGAGTCATGAGTTTTATGTGTTAAAGTCCGATATGGCAGCTAAGGATGGTTGCCATCAGACAAGACTTCGGGCAAAGCCAAAGCATGCTTTCTCTGAACTAATTAATGATCTCATAAAAGAATAAAAGCTCTTGACCTCTTAGCTAGTGTAGCCAAGAAAGTATAAACTTTTAAGGAGGCAAATATCCCAAAGTCAAGGTTTGAAAATGGAAAAATTTAGAGATGAGCCTGTAAACAGAAGAGGAGCCAAAGTAGCTAGGGTCATTGTGTGCTCATTGGGTGCTTAGTACATCTGGATTATAGCAGCACCTTTAGAAGATTTCTGCCTGTTGTTGTGGGGTCATCAGAAGGAAAGAACTTGCAGTGTCCTGCACCTGAGTACCAGACTCAGGTGGAGACAGTGCAAAGATTCCAGAACTCATGGTTGAGGGGAGGAGTGGAGAGTGCGGGTTACATGCAGAGCCTTTCCACACTCATTTTCTTGGAGGAGCATCATCAACCCTAACCCCCAGGTTCTCCACAAGGCTTTTTCATTGATGACTTGATTCCAGGTAAGAACCTTCACTGAGTTATGGACCATTTTGATTTTGATCTGCTCATGCTCTTGCTTACCTGCCGGTTCATAAAGACATAGATAATGGGGTTGTAGATAGTGGCACTTTTTGCAAAGTAGGATGGTATGGAGGCCACAAGAGGGTGGAAGGCATAGCCAGGGTGGGCAGTAGCAAAGCATGCAAAGAAAGTATAGGGCCCCCAGCAGAGGCAGTACGCAAAGACCATCACCACCACCATGCGCGTCACCTCCTTCTCGGCCTTCTGGGTGGACTCAGATTCCTTCTGTTGCTTTGCCACCTAGAGAAGATAAGGGCAGTGAACAGGGGAGTCAGTTAGGGCTCTAGATCTAGAGGGACTATTGCTATTGCTCAGGTACAGAGTCAGGATATTAACAAGAAAAGGTAAACCTAGGACTCTACAGGGAGTAGGAGGTGTCCACCCAGTATCCTAACCCTGCCTCCCACCCTCAGTCAGAGAATGACCTGACTTGGGAGCTAGAGTGGTCCTGGAGCTTTGTAGGAGTTCCTGTAGACCTTGAGGTGACAAGTGGCTGGTTTGGCCAAGATCAACCCTCAGACCAGACTTTTGAATCTGTTCTCTGTAGTTTCACAGAAGCTTGTGAAGGAGAACTAAGCAGACTGAGCTTAGCCTTTGTATAATCCTTTCCAAGAAGATCTAGTCTTATGCTCAGGTTTGAATCTGGAGTCCTGAGACTGGCCCTAGAAGTGAAGTTTCTTTAACTAAACCAGGCCTGGCAGGGTGCCCAGTGGCAATACAAGAGCCAAAGCCACACTTCTCCCAGGCTTTCTAGAGGATAGGGGCCAGATATCTGCCACGGAATGCTTGCTGATGGCAGATAACTGGAAAAGGAAAAATGAGTGCTAGAATCCAGGGAGAGCTGCAACAGCAGCGATGGGTTTTGCTAGCCAAGAGCTAATTCTATGAAAACTTGAAAGAAACCCCACGGGAGCTAGCTAAATTGATTCTGATATGGGACCACCAACCCAGGGACCAAATTGTAGCTTTTATCACAAGACACTAAGGTGAGTAGAGTTTCCTGGGGGAGCTCGTGATTTTTTTTTTCCAAAAAGAGCTTATAAATACCTGTTCATGCAGAGGTGAATATAAAGCAGCTTCATATAGGAAAAACACCACCTGGAGGGACTTTCTGCTACATGGGCTCCCAGCAATGAATAAATGGAACATGAAGTAAATGGTAGGGGAGTTGTTTGACAAAGGGACAATTTATGCTGGAGAGGGAGACCAACAGAGGAGCACAGAGCTCTCAGCCTACAGTACCCAGCTCATGCATCTCCTTACTATCATTTTTTGCAGGGGAATCCCTAATGGTAGACTGGCCTGGGTAGGGATGTTGGTGGGACAGGACTGCAGACAGAACTGGCTCCCCAAGATGGAGCGCCAAAGACAGGACAGTGGAGAGCAGGTCTGAGGGCAAATGAACACCCATGAGTTTACTTTCTGATCTTCCACAAGAGCCCCATTGTGGTGATTTGAATGAGAATGGCCCCCATAGACTCATATTTGAATGTTTGGCCCCTAGTTGGCGGAACTGTTTTGGAAGGATTAGGAGATTTGGTCTTGTTGGAGGGGTGAGTGTAGTGGTCTATTATTTGTATTTTAATACATCTTCCTGAAGACCAGAGGCAAAGCTAAAGCCAGTAGAGGTCTGGCAATGGTGATACACACCTTTAATCCCAGGATTTAGAGTCATATGGATCTCTGTGAGTTCAAAACCACCCTGGGCTACATAAGATCAATGCAGAAATAAATCCAGGTGATGGCGGCCTACACCTTTGATTCCAATACTAGGGAATCATACGCCCTTAATCCCAGCACTAGAGGGAATATAAAATGAGGGGAGAGAGAGGCTGTCTGTTTAGTTTGTGGTTGCCTAGCCTTGGTAAAAGTAAAGCTTCTTTAGTGGCTTGACTGCTTTGCTTTTCTGGTTTTCAGGTTGAAACCCAATTTCTGTCTCTGGGTTGTATTAATCATGCTACAGGTAAGCTTTGAGGTTCAAAAGGCCATTCCATAGTCAGTCTCTCTCTCTTTGCCTCCAATTTACAGATTAGGATGTAAACTCTCAGCTATGCCTGCTTGCCTGCTGTCATGCTCCCCACCATGATGATCATGGACTCGCTCTGAAACTATAAGAATCCCTTAACTAAATGCTTTCTTTTATAAGAGTTGCCTTGGTCATGATGTCTTTTCACAGCAATAGAACAGTGACTAAGACACAAGGGGAATTATAAAACAGT